ATCCTGTAGCGTACTTCGGCGACAAAAAATCAAATAGAGGAACTTAGCTGCTGTCTTGGTGAGCTCCTGGTCTCTCCCCTGTAATAAGAAGCGTATACCGTATTTTTTGCTCTGTAAGATGCACCCGACCATAAGACACATTTAGTTTTTAGAGGAGGAAAACGAGAAAAAAAATCTCTCCATCTCTGCGCAGCGCCTCTCCAGCGAAGCGGGAGGAGAAACGGAAGGGGCTCCGTTTCTCCTCCCGCTTCGCTGGAGGGGTGCTGAACAGCTCTCCATCTCTGCGCAGCGCCATTCGCTCCATAAACACACACACATTTCCCCTTACTTTTTAGGAGGAGAAAAGTGCGTCCTATGGAGCGAAAAATATGGTAACCTCTGTCTCTGGTTTCCATGTTGGAATACATAGATGGTCTAGAAATTCTTGGCGGAGATCATCATACGTTTTACATTTAAGGGCCATGTGAGCTAGAGTTTCCACCAGGTGGGCATCGCATGGGCAGATCCTATCTCCTCCTGCCATACCCGCAAACCTACCCCAAACCATGATTTTTGCCTGCAGACATTCCCTGGCTGAGCTAGCATCCCAGGTAGTCCCTTCCTTTTCCCTGAGACCGTAGACATCAGCTGCCAGAGTCGATAGCTCTGGGCTACGTGAAATGGTTGGCTTGACGGAGGCAGCAGTGCTTCTGTGCGCCACTTGCTAGAAACTCTTTTGGGGGTGATGGTGCTCTTGTGCTCAGGCCCTGCTTGCGGTTTCCCCATAGGTGTCTGCTTGGCCACTGTGAGAACATTATGCCAGACTAGATGATCCAGCAGCCTCTTCTTGTGTTCTTACAACTTGGTATAGGGCAGCACCCATTGAGCTTTCATTCAACCCATCAGCTTCCTAGCTTCTGTCCTTCCATCTTGAAGTCCTGGCAAGTGCTTTCTGAAAACGTGGACACTGTGGTTTAGCATTGTAGGCTGGCAAAGACATTAATCAGTGCAAATCCTATACGTTTATTAAAAAAAACCCTGTCCTCTGACTTTCTTGTTTTAGGACCTCGGAGGAAGGACTTTTAACGATGAATTTTATGGTTTGGTGTCTATATCCCGCCTTCCCATTGCTTCTCCCCCAGCCATTCAGACTTACTTTGCGCTGGCTCCGTTTGTAGTTTTATATCCTGTGGCTGGGATCCAAAGGTCCCCATACGATCTTCTGTTTGCGCACAGGGGCTTTCCAGCCTCCCTTTTTCAGTAGCAGCCCCCTGGGAAGATTGTGGAGGGGCTCCTGAGGCACAGGGGTCTGCAACTGGAAGAGAAAGCGAATAACACCCTCTCCCTTTTGTTCATCACACACACACACACACACACACACACACACACACACACACGAGAGAGAGAGAGAGGCCACAAGGATTCAGTATTCCTTCTGCAGCACAAAAACACCTTCAGCCTCCCTTTCGACTTGCTTTGCCTGAACACTTCCTGCCGTCTGGCTCCCTTTAAAAACTGGAACATCCTTTCCTCCTTCCTGCCCTCAACCTCCTCCCACCCCCCTGGCCGAAGGCAAAGCCTCTTTTGGACTGCCATATATCCCCATCGTCTAGCAGATAACATAGGAAACTGCCATACGCTGAGCCAGACACTTGATCCCTCTTGTTCAGTGTTGTTTACACTGACTGGTAGCAGCTCCTCAGGGTTTCAGGCAGAGGGTCTCTCCCAGTCGAGGCTGGAGAGTCCACCAGGATTGAACCTTCTGCATGCGAAGCAGGTACTCTGCCACTGAGCCCATCGCCCCACCTTGTCCGCCTTTGAGATTGTGAGGCCTCTGGGGGCAAAGACTGCCGGTGCCATGTTCCGCACAGTGCCTGGCACAGTGCCAGTTCTTAACTACAGATCAGTGCTCTCCTTCCAAGCTTTTGGCAAGAGAACAGTAGCATCTTCAGGATTCCCAGGGGTCTCTTTCATTCCTGTTCCACCCAGAGAGCAGCAGAGGTCAAGGTAGCCACTGGGGTATGTGGAGCAGTGGTAAAGGTAAAGGGACCCCTGACCATGAGGTCCAGTTGTGGCCGACTTTGGGGTTGCGGTGCTCATCTCCCTTTACTGGCCGAGGGAGCCAGCGTACAGGTTCCAGGTCATGTGGCCAGCATGACTAAGCCGCTTCTGGCGAACCAGAGCAGTGCATGGAACCGCCGTTTACCTTCCCGCCGGAGCGGTACCTATTTATCTACTTGCACTTGACGTGCTTTCAAACTGCTAGGTTGGCAGGAGCAGGGACCGAGCAACGGGAGCTCACCCCGTCGTGTGGATTCGAACCGCCGACCTTCCGATCGGCAAGTCCTAGGCTCTGTGGTTTAACCCACAGTGCCACCCGCGTCCCGTGGTGCATGTACATGGACACTTCTGGCTCTGGGGGTTCTAGGGAAGGCCCCTGAGATGCTGGCACCGACCGTCCACATCTTCTGCTCCTGTCCCCCTCCAGTATTCTCAATTGTGAACTGGGGAGGGGATGGAAGGAGACAAGCAGAAAAGCAGGTGATTTCTCCTATGATGCGTTGCCGTCCTCCATACTGCCGCTCTCCAAGGGGTTGAGAGATTCTGCCAGCTCACATAGCAAGCCTTGGTGGTGGCGGTAGAGCAGCCCCTTAAGCATGCAAAGGCCTGGAGAAAATCTCTCTGCCTCCCCCTCCTGTTGTTTATTTGGGTGGCCTTCACATCTCTAGAAACCTCCCTGCGTTGTGGTTAATTAGTTATTCATTTGCACCCCACCTTTTTTCCGCCAAAGAGCTTGAGGTGGCATGCATGAATTTAATCATTTAATCCCCACAACAACCCTGAAAGGGAGCTTAGATGGAGAGGCAATGACTGGCCAAAAGGTCACTGCCCAAGGGGGGATTTGAACCCTGGTCCTAGTCTGACTCCCTTTTAACTGCTACACCGCATTTGCTCTCTGGCAATGGTTGTCTCTTTTCCTTGGAGGTCTCCCCCTTCCACACCTCCTGTTCTTCATTTGGCCTTTCATTGGTGAATTGGACTCTTAATATACGGAGCTGGGGAATGGCTCTCTTGCTATCCTGCAGACGACACCCCCCCTCCACTGGCGAGGGGCACATGGACGACCTGCCTGCTCTCTTGGTCGCTCTGGATGGAGACCCAGAGCCACAGATGTGCAGGGACTCAGTGCCTCTAATTAACAATTTTACGCACAGTCTAGTAGCTGCTGTAAGGATACAGGCTTCTAATCTGCCTATTGCTTTGTTGTTGTTTTGAAGATAAATGTCCCAGGCTCCCCGTGGGTGATTTCCCCCTCAAGCTCAATGTTCTCTCTGAATTCAGGCTCGCCCAAGCTCCTCTGGACTTTTGAGGCATTGTTCTCTGCAAGTAAAAGTCCCCGGAGAAGGAAATTCCTCTCTATTGGGGGAAGTGTGTGTGTGTGTGTGTGTTGCGTTTTCAAGAGCCAGAAAGTTGCCTCCCCCCCCCGCCTCCCGCACGGCTCTGTTTACAAAACATTTCCTTCCCAAGTTCCCAAATGATTTTGCCCGCGTGCGCCTTAAACGGGATGTGACAGGCTCCTGTCGAGTTTGTAAATGGCATTGAACTGGGCGGCGGGGGGCAAGTTCTGCAGCCTTAGTCAGTAACTAGTCTGAGCTGCAAGGTGTCTCCTGAAGAATTGCTGCCCCTTCAGCTCCCATCATTGTGTGTGTGTGTGTGTGTGTGTGTGTGAGAGAGAGAGAGAGAGAGAGAAGGGGTTAGGTTGCTCTAAATGCACCTCCTCCCCATAGACATCACTTTCCAAATATTTCCACCAAATCGTCTTTACAGTGGTGCCTCGCAAGACGAAATTAATCCGTTCCGTGAGTCTCTTCGTCTTGCGGTTTTTTCGTCTTGCGAAGCACGGCTCTTAGCGGCTTAGCGGCTATTAACGGCTTAGCGGCTTTAAGAAAAAGGAAACAAACTCGCAAGAACTCGCAAGACGTTTCGTCTTGCGAAGCAAGCCCATAGGGAAATTCGTCTTGCGGAACGACTCAAAAAACGGAAAACTCTTTCGTCTAGCGAGTTTTTCGTCTTGCGAGGCATTCGTCTTGCGGGGCACCACTGTACTGCATAGGTTTCTGGGCTAGTGGCTCAGTGGCTTAGAGAAGAAGTTAAGAACCAGAGCAAAGGACATCTAGCCGCCCTCAATGGGCAGGCTTATTTATAAGATTTGTTAGTTGCATTTCTCACGGAGTGACACAGATCAACTTGCACTGAAACCAGTTAGGAACATCCAACAACAGTCTAAAATCACAGATAAGAAGACAGATCAGGACTTACTCATCCCACCCCACTCAGAGAGGTCACGGTGCCACCATTCAAATCAAGGGCCGAAAGCCGAGGCAAAGAGAAAAGTCTTTGCTTGGAGCCTCCAAAAGATGGTGCCAGGCGAGACTTCCTGGGGAGAGCACCCCACAAGTATAGAAAGGCCGGATCTCATGTTGCCACCCTCCTTTTATTTCCAAGTGGAAGCTGGTAAAAAAGGAGTCTGCGCAGCTTGCAGCAGAGAGCATCTTGAAATCCACACACCACCCAGGTTATTATTAAATGATGTTGGCAAGCAATAGCTAGGCACACTTCTTTTTTGTAATGAGATTTTTATTAAAGTTTTTCATAATACGATAAAATAGCTGCTATAAAAAAATAGAAATAGAACAGGCAGAATACGGAGTCCTCTCTTAAAAGTAATACTTATCCCTTACCGCTCACAAAAGATAGTAGCTCATCCTAAGTCTGGCCTGGGATTGTTCCTATCTCTTCCCAGCCTTTTACACGTCTTGATACACCAGAAGTAAGGCAGCAGGGAAAGTCCTGAATTTTAACACCCCCTGTCCCTTTATTTTCCTCTGATTTTCAAATCCTAGAGCTGTTCTGTCGCTTCAGTTTCTGCACCCGTTTTTATTTGCAATTGCTGACTCCAATAACGTTGGCGCCAGGCCTCAAGCTTGTGGAACAACCGTCTCCCCCTTCTCCTCTGCCAGGAACGGCGTGAACGTCGAAGGGGCGACGCACAAGCAAGTGGTGGACCTGATCCGGGCGGGGGAGAAGGAGCTGATCCTGACGGTTCTGTCGGTGCCCCCCCACGAGGCCGACAACCTCGACCCGAGCGACGACTCTCTGGGCCAGTCGTTCTACGACTACACTGAGAAGCAGGCGGTGCCCATCTCCATCCCCACCTACAAGCATGTGGAACAGAATGGTGAGAAGTTTGTGGTGAGTACCAGCCCGGCTGGGGGGTCCCCTCTTGGGTGCCTGTGCCTCGTGACGGAGGGCTTTGGAACGCTCTGGCATGTCTTTCTGCTCCCCGACTGGTATAGAGTCCGGCTAGCAAATGTTTGGGCAAAAGAGAGAGTGTTGGCCTTCAGTGTTTGCCCGTACAGCCTAGGACCCTCGTACCTACAGCACTGCCTCTCCCGGTCTGCCCCACGGAGAGCCTCACGGTCCATAAATAGCAACACCCTCGAGGTCCCGGGCCCTAAGGAAGTTAGATTAACATCAACCAGAGCCAGGGCCTTTTCAGTACTGGCCCCAATCTGGTGGAATGCTCTGCCTCATGAGACCAGGGCCCTGCAGGATCTGATTTCTTTCCGCAAGACAGAGTTGTTCCGCCTGGCCTTTGGCTTGGAGCCAATTTGATTCCCTCCCCCTCTTTCTTTTTCCTTTCTCCTCCTGTGATGAGGCTGCATTTTAATGTTTCAATGTTTTAATGTTGTATTTTAATCTTGTTTTTAAGTTGTATTCATTCAACTTGTTTTTATTATTGCTTGTTAGCCGCCCTGAGCCTGGCCTTGGCTGGGGAGGGCGGGGTATAAATACACATTATTATTATTATTATTATTATTATTATTATTATTATTATTTATTATTTATTATTACGCAACTCTCCTGTCTGTCTCCTTCTCTCTGGGAGAGTAACGGGATTCCTCTTGTTCTGTAATGTGAAGGAGGGGAAAAACAGCAGGAGTCCCCTTTTCTCCAAACTGCTTGTGCAAGTCTTTGGGAACTCCCTGCCTCATCCCCGAGCTTTCGGGCAAGCAGAAAGAACTCAAGAGAAGACGGTCCCATTCACACTACACATGACAGTGATGTCATTTTCAGCAGCCATGGCTTTGCTCCCTAAGGATTCTGGGTGCTGTAGTTTTTTAAGGGTGTTGTGGCCTGTTAGGAGGCACACACCCTTTCCCCTAAGAGCTACAATTCCCAGAGTTCCCTGTGAAAGAGTGATTGTTTGTTAAACCACTACAGTGGTACCTCGGGTTACAAACCCTGCTAACCCGGAAGTAGTACCTCGAGTTAAGAACTTAGCCCCAGGATGAGAACAGAAATCGTGCGACGGTGGCAGCGGGAGGCCCCATTAGCTAAAGTGGGACCTCAGGCTAAGAACGGTGTCAGCTTAAGAACGGACCTCCAGAATGAATTAAGTTCTTAACCAGAGGTACCACTGTATAGGAACTGCGGCTATGGGAGGAGACTAGGGACCTCTTGACAACTCTCAACGCTCCCAGACTCCCAGAACTGGCCTGGGTACGGCTCTCGCTGCATCTTCCAATGTCCAAGTCTCCATTCAAGCAAGGCCACTGTTGCTCAGGGGTCGACTTTGCACATGGCAAGTCCCAGGTTCAGTCCCTCAAGGCATCTCCAGCTAGGGCTGCACAGGTCCCCTGCCTGAAACCTTGGAGAGCCTCTTCCTGTTGGCGTAGACAACCCTAAGCAGGATGGATTGAGAGGCAGAGCATCCTCTTGGCAGACAGTGGCTCCAGGTTCCGCCCGCAGCACAGGAACACCAGAAGAGCTTGATGGGTCTAATGCAGCGTCCTGCCCTCGCAGCAGCCAACCAGGTGCCTCTGGGAAGCCCACAAGCAAGACCTGAGCGCCAGCAGCAACTCTCCCTGCTTGGGAGCCCCAGAGGCATTCTGCCTCCGCCAGGGGAGGGTAGAACAGAGTCATTTTGGCTAGTAGCCACAGGTAGCCTTATCCTTCATGACTTTTTCTAAGGGTAAGGCTGGGGAATTGCCAATAAACAGATGAATCCAAAATGATAAAATGGCTGTTTTGTTGTGGCTTGACAAAAACGGCAACCGATTTCATCAGGATAAGAGCAGGCTGTGTGCGCACACTGGGCAAATGGTTTGTGAAAGGCATTCCACAACCCATTTAACTGCCATTGGCCTCACCTCTGAAGGAGAGGGCACCTGGAGCAAATTCTACTCTGACCCGACCTGGTGAAGGAAGCATGGCGATGCATGATGCACCTCTGAGATTCCTCTTTTGGTGATGGAAAGAAAGACAACCTCGCTTTGGCCACATCCACAGCAACATATTTAAAGCTTCCCCTGAAGAAGCCTGGGAACTGTAGTTTAAGGGTGCTGGGAATTGTAGCTTTCTGCAGGGGTAAACTATGCTCTTAAAAAGCACCTTAAAAAGTAGAGCCATCACCTTGTCAACAAAGGTTCGTATAGTAAAAGCTATGGTTTTCCCAGTAGTGATGTATGGAAGTGAGAGCTGGACAATAAAGAAGGCTGATCGCCGAACAATGGATGCTTTTGAATTCTGGTGCTGGAGGAAACTCTTGAGAGTCCCATGGACTGCAAGAAGATCCAACCTCTCCATTCTGAATGAAACCAGCCCTGAGTGCTCACTGGAAGGACAGATCCTGAAGCTGAGGCTCCAAGACTTTGGCCACCTCAGGAGAAGAGAAGACTCCCTGGGAAAGACCCTGATGCTGGGAAAGATGGAGGGCACAAGGAGAAGGGGACAACAGAGGACGAGGTGGTGGGACAGTTCTCGAAGCTACCAGCATGAGCTTGACCAAACTGCGGGAGGCAGTGGAAGACAGGAGTGCCTGGCGTGCTCTGGTCCAGGGGGTTACGAAGAGTCGGACACAACTAAATGACTAAACAACAACAACAAACTATGCTCCCAGGATTCTTTGGGGGAAGCTGTGTCCTTTCAGTGTGTGGCATGAAGGCGACCTAGGTGCAGCAAAACTTGTTATCTGCATGGCCACTGCAGGGGGACTTCAGCTTCTTTGCCATTGGACTCCCCACTGCGAAAACCACCGGCTGTCCCATCCTGTCATGCACTGAGTAAAATAGCCAGGAGAAGGTGATTCTGTTGCAGAGGACACTCTGTCCGACTGCTTCTTCTGCCCAGGAGGAACCAAGGACGTCCCATCCCCATTCCAGAGCTGCTCCACGCTGCCTCTTTTGAACGTTCTCCACAACATAGCCCACCCCTCGTGGGTCTTTCGGTAGCCATTGAAAAGCGGAGTTATTCCTGGTCATGTGCCAGCCCTGCAGGAGTGGGGGCGTGTGCCCATCTGCTGTGCCGGCCTGTGCCAAAGCAGCCTGCTGCCCACGAACTCCCAGAGGACCCAGTGAAGCCTTCAGATCCCATCTGGTCTTGTGGGGTTTGGGACTTTTAGCCTGTGTGTGTGTGGCTATAAATTACTCATCAGTAATTGGAATGAGACAGCTTATTTACGGGCTCTGAGTACAGTGGGGAAGTTTGCTCACTGAACGGGCAAGACGGATGTTGCATTGATTTCCACCCCCTTCCTCTCTCCTCCTCCTCCCCCCCCCTCTTGTGAAACAGGAACCATATTTCCAAGGAGAGGCAAAATGCTTGTTTAGAAAGGATCATGTGCTAAATTGGAGTGTGTGTGTTGATGACTTAGGAGTCTCCACAAATTTGCTGAACTCTTTTTTTTTTGGGCAAAATCTCAAAAAATATATATGAAGTTATTGAACTATTTTTAAGGAAATCTAGACTTTTGACATTGGTTGCCATAAATCTGGATTTCCCCAGACATTTCAGCAATTTCCGCCTGGACACTGCTTCTGACTGCAGTATTCCGGCTGTGTCTAGAAAATTCTGGACGTATGGCAACCCTACCAAATAACGTACTGGAGGGAGATCTGATTTTAGGGCAGAATTAGAGGTTTATTATCCCCCCGCCCTGGGCAGTGCATCTCTATAGATTACGCAGTTACTTATATTGTGTTATTCTCCTTAAGAAACAAATCAGAATTTTTGATGGTAAGAACTTCAAGGTTTTTTTGGCACAGCTGGGCTAAGAGGACGGAACAACGAGAACGTGTGTGGGGTGTTTGAGAGCGTGGATAAGCAAAACGAGCTCAGCAGTAAAACACCTGCTTTGCAGGCAGAAGGTCCCAGTTTCCATCTCCTGGAGAGGCTCTGCCAGCCAGTGTGGACAATATTGAGCTTGATGTGAGTCTTACTTGATGTAAGGCAACTTCCTGCTTACAAAAAGTTGATTGATAAGAAAAATATTCATAAACTGGAGTTCAAACAGCAACATATTATATTTTTTTTAAAAGGCAGTAAGGTAAACAGCCTGGGAGATAGCTGGGGCATTCTTCTTATCGACCCCCTAAGTGGACCAAAGAGAGCTGCCTTATTCCGATTCAAGCCATTGGTCCATCATGCTCAGTGTTGTCCGCACTGACCAGTATCAGCTCTCCAGGGTTTCAAGCAGGGAGTTTTCCCCATCCTTACCTGGGGATGCGGTTGGGGATTGAACCTGAAGCCTTCTGCACTCAGAGCAGGTGCTCCACCCCTGATCTACTGCCCTTCCCCAGCACTGTTGCTGGATCTGAGTACCGTATTTTTCGCTCCATAAGACACTCCTAAAAAGTAAGGGGAAATGTGTGTGCGTCTTATGGAGCGAATGCAGGGGGGGGAGGCAGGCAGGAAAAGCCCCCAAGAGCCACACACAAGCTCTGCGCGTCTCTTGTGGGCTTTTCCCCATGAGGGAGAAGGGATTGATGCGGCCAGTCAGTCCCTTCTCCCTCCTTGTAGAAAAGCCTGCAGGAACTGTGCGCTCCTTAAAGGGTGCGTGGCTCCTGTGGGCTTTTCTATGAGGTGGGGGAATTCCCCCACTTCCCACAAAAGCACGCAAAAGCCGCGCACCCTTTAAAGAGCGCGCCGCTCTTGGGGGCTTTTCCTCGAGGAGGGAGAAGGGACTGACTGGCCGCGTCAGTCCCTTCTCCCTCCTCGTAGAAAAGCCCACAGGAGCAGCGCTCTCCTTAAAGGGTGCTGCTTTAGCTGCGTGCAGCCTCTCCGTCCGGGAGAGGTTGCGCGCGGCTAAAGAGGAAGCCAGGACAGTGAGCGGGATCCCGCTGGCTTTGCTCTTTGTGGCTGGGGGGGGGGACCCGGGCTCCCCCCGACAGCCCCGAGAAGCTCTGGGAGAAGCGGACAGGCTGTGCGCATATTTGTTTTTCTTGATTTCCCCCTCTAAAAACTAGGTGCGCCTTATGGTTAGGTGCACCTTATGGAGCGAAAAAGTACGGTACAGTGGTGCCCCGCAAGACAAATGCCTCGCAAGACGAAAAACTCGCTAGACGAAAGGGTTTTCCGTTTTTTGAGTTGTTCCGCAAGACGAATTTCCCTATGGGCTTGCTTCGCAAGACGAAACGTCTTGCGAGTTCTTGTGAGTTTGTTTCCTTTTTCTTAAAGCCGCTAAGCCGTTAATAGCCGCTAAGCCGTTAATAGCCGTGCTTCGCAAGACGAAAAAACCGCAAGACGAAGAGACTCGTGGAATGGATGAATTTCGTCTTGCGAGGCACCACTGTATATCCTTTGGCAGTGGTTAATTGATGTTTTCTTTTTAACTGTTTATGGTTTTATTATGCGTTTGTAATACACGGATTCGCCTTCACCTTGTCCTTTTCCTGCCTCCCTCCCAGGTCTACAACGTTTACATGGCAGGCCGGCAGCTGTGCTCCAAGCGGTACCGGGAGTTCGCCATCCTGCACCAGAACTTGAAGCGGGAGTTTGCCAGCTTCACCTTCCCCCGCCTGCCGGGCAAGTGGCCCTTCTCCTTGTCAGAGCAGCAGCTGGATGCCAGGCGGCGGGGGCTGGAGGAATACCTTGAAAAGGGTACGCAGACAAGAGCACGTGTGTCGGGGAGGGGGCCGTTGGTGTGTTCTCCACCGGCAGCCGATTCAGCTGAACAAACCACCGTTTGGTCAGCGGCTTCCTTAGAAGTGGAGCTGAGACACAAGGTTTCAGAAAGGCTAATAATTTGATTTTTTTAAAGTACCCCTGCGGCGAATTACGCCACAGATTTTGCATGCATTTATTTTATTCTTTAGTTCCGAAACATTTATCCACGGCTTGATTGTAAGAAGCCAACAAACCAACTCAGCAAGCCTCAAAAAGGCTTATATATGTATAAAACCCAATAAAACTGTCAATAAGGAAAAACTAGCACTAGTAATTTAAGATTAAAAAATTTAAGCAACAGAACCTGTTTTCAAGGCAAGGTAACAAGTCATGCTCTTAAAAGAGGCATTCCTTATAAGGCTTGGCAGGGAGGAATTCCTGTTCCGATAGGGTGCATTTTTTATTTAGAGTTACGAGAATAAGCAGATACATGCAGATGTATTAAATCATGCAACCGGTTAAACCTCATTTGATCGATCACCTGGCAAATGCCTGTGGCCCTGCCCAGATGTGGCTGGACTCCAAGTCCCAGCAGCCGCAGAAGCCAGCATGGGCAAATGACGATGGGAGTTGTAGTCCCGAGAGCATCCAGAAGGCTGCCTTCTCTGGCCCTCACAGTTCTTTAATTAAGCCTCAGGCTGCCTTGGAAGCTTTGAGAATTGAGGTCGATAGGAAAGAGCCTTCACCTATCGTCCAGCCCTTCAGATTCCTCCTTTGGCATGGAAGTCTGGTTAAGGCAGAAGGTGCAAAGATTATCCTGGGAGCACCCAGTCCTGTAGCTAAGGAGGTTTGCATTTGATCAGTACTGGATCAGCCACTACCTTCCTCTCCATCCCCACATAAATTGCATTAGCAGCCCACCTGGCAAGCACATAATACAGCCCCCTGCCCAGTTTTTTACAGGCTAAATGTTCTGGGGTGGCCTTGGAATAAGCAGGTGGGGGTCTGTGCTTGGCAGTGGGGCAGACCCACCACTCTGTTAATCTCCAAGGAACATTGAAAACAATCCAGGGACTGAGACCTCCTCTTGTCCTGCCAATTCCCTCTTCCTGCCCGTTAGCTTTAAAAATATTTTTTTTACCAACAACCAAAACACAAATAGTGAAACCCCCAGGCGGCTGATACATTGGGTATACATAATCAATAATAACATATTCAAATCAACCATATGTACAATTTTATATACGTTAACACTCCTCCATCCACAAGGTTTATTTAACTTTTAACATTTTAATTGCCCCAAATTGTTCAAACCTACCCAAATAATTCAATATCTTCTCAAGCCAATCCTCCTCTTTCTCACTGACCTTAAACCCTTTCATTCTGTCTATCTTCACAGTTAGATATTCTAAAATTATAATATTATTCAGTTTTTTCTCCATTGGTTCACCTCTAACTCTACTGCATTTTTCCAATTACTCACTATAATCTGGCTGGCTGCAGTTACCATCAATTTTACCCATTTACATTCCCCCTTTTTTTTAACTCAGTGCTACTCAGACTAATAAGAACCATTAATTTAGATATTCCTTCCTACCCACAATTTCCGATATTTCTATACCAATCTGTTTCCAAAATTCATTAACTAACGGACAGTCCCACCACATATGACTGTACGTTCCCATCACTCCACATTTCCTCCAACAGTTCTTACTTCCAGATTTTGTAATATGATATAACCTTACAGGTGTATAATGCCATTTTTGTACCAACTTCCTGCCGTTCTCCTTCTCTCTGCAGTGTGTTCCATCCGGGTCATCGGGGAGAGCGACATCATGCAGGAGTTCTTGTCAGAGTCAGATGAGGTAGGCGAGCAAAAAACCGGACACTGCAAGGGAGGTGCCAGAGCATGTGCAGTTGATGCTTAAAGTGTGCCCTAGAGTGTTGGACAGGGACCCGGGTGGCGCTGCGGGTTAAACCACAGAGCCTAGGACTTGCCGATCAGAAGGTCGGTGGTTCGAATCCCCGCGATGGGGTGAGCTCCCGTTGCTCGGTCCCAGCTCCTGCCCACCTAGCAGTTCAAAAGCACGTCAAAGTGCAAGTAGATAAATAGGTACTGCTCCGGCGGGAAGGTAAACGGTGTTTCCGTGCACTGCTCTGGTTCTCCAGAAGTGGCTTAGTCATGCTGTACGCCGGCTCCCTCGGCCAGTAAAGCAAGATGAGTGATGCAACCCCAGAGTCAGCCATGACTGGACCTAATGGTCAGGGGTCCCTTTACCTATACAGTGGTACCTCGGGTTACATATGCTTCAGGTTACATACGCTTCAGGTTACACACACTGCTAACCCAGAAATAGTACCTCGGGTTAAGAACTTTGCTTCAGGATGAGAACAGAAATTGTGCAGTGGTGGCGCAGTGGCAGCAGGAGGCCCCATTAGCTAAAGTGGTGCTTCAGGTTAAGAACAGTTTCAGGTTAAGAACAGACCTCCGGAACGAGTTAAGTTCTTAACCTGAGGTACAACTCTACTTCTAAAGAATTGTGTGCAGAAGGGTGTCCCCCATGACACAGCAAAGCCACAGTCCACCCCCTCTCATTATGGTGGGACCAAAGGCTTTTCCAGACCGGTGGCTGCCCTAGACCCTTTTAGGCAGGCTCGATTCCCCCAGCATCTCATGGTAGGAAAGAATCCAGTTTGATAATGCAGGCTTCCACTTGACTAGGTGCAGGGAATCCTTGGCCGTCTAGATGTTGCTGAACTACGTCTCCCATCACCCCTAGCCATTGGGCATGCTTGCTGGGGCTGATGGGAGCTGCAGTTCAGCAACGTCTGGAGGGCCAAAGCTCTCCTCCCCACCCCTAAATGGCCTCGGTCCAGTATATCTGAAGGAGCGTCTCCACCCCCATCGTTCTGCCTGGACACTGAGGTCCAGCACTGAGGGCCTTCTGGCGGTTCCCTCACTGCGAGAAGCCAAGTTACAGGGAACCAGGCAGAGGGCCTTCTCGGTGGTGGCACCTGCCCTGTGGAACACCCTCCCAGCAGATGTTAAGGCAGTAAACAACTATTTTACTTTTAAAAGACAACTGAAGGCGGCTCTGTTTAGGGAAGTTTTTAATCTCTGACTCTGTATTGTTTTTAATATTCAGTTGGAAGCTGCCCAGAGTGGCTGGGGAAACCCAGCCAGATGGGTGGGGTATAAATAAATTATTATTATTATTATTATTATTATTATTATTATTATTATTATTATTAGTGGCTCCCCTCTCTTTCCCCCTCTCTTTGCGACATCGCTCCTCATAGCTGAGGGTCCTTTCCTTGTGCCCTGGAGAAACCAGACTTAAAAACCTGGGACTGGAGCGTGAGAGGCATACCTTAAACAAAAACAATAAATCCTGGCTTTATCTTCCTGCCCTTGCACCCTAGAACTACAACGGCGTGTCGGACGTGGAGCTCAGAGTGGCGCTTCCGGACATCACGACAGTGACTGTCCGGGTCAAAAAGAACAGCACCACGGACCAGGTGTATCAGGTGAGGAGGGCAGGGCGGCATCTAGGGGTGCGATTCCTCACTGGCAACAGAGAAAGAAAGACAGAAACAGGCTCGGATTTCTTTACTCTGTGCGCTGTTTTTAAGGAAGACTCTGTAGACTTTTAGAAATGTGAGAAGCTGCCTTCTACCGAGCCCAGACTCTTGTTCCATCCAGCTCAGCATTGTCTGCACAGACAGGCAGCAGCTGTCTCGGGTTTCAGACAGAGGGTATCTCCAGGCTTAACTTCCCATTCTGCACGTGACGCACTGAGTCGTTTGTGTGGGAAAACTCCACCCTGAGAGACATGAAAAGGGAAGTGTGGGGCATCCTTTGTGGCTGTCCGCACCGGGGTGTGCCATTATGAGTGGCTCTTTGCCTGTCTCCAGGAGCAGAATGAGGCCTTGGCAGGCTCTCCAGGCCAAGCAGAGGAAGCTAGAAGGCCAGGTCATTGTCGCCAGCCCTTTCCACCCCTGCTCAGTTCAGGGCTCCAGCCCTTTCCTCCTCCTCTCACATCTCCCCAATATCAGGAATTGAAACTGTGTGGACTGAAAAGAGCTGACCTAACCATCTCCAAAGCCTGAATCACTTTGCAAGAAGAAGCTGCACTGAGTCCTTGCTCTAAAACAGCCTTTCTCAACCTGTGGGTCCCCAGATGTTGTTGAACTACAACTCCCATCACCCCTAGCTAGCAAGGCCAGAGCTCAGGGATGATGGGAGTTGTAGTCCAACAACATCTGGGGACCCACAGGTTGAGAACTGCTGCTCTAAAATAACAAGCAGATGTGGAGGTTGGGTCAGGCTTCATGCCTCTGGCCTCAGAGTGTGGCTTGAGAATTAGCAGCTCACCCCCCTTTCTTCTTCTTCTTCTTCATTATTGTTGTTGTTGTTGTTGTAACATAATAACCTTTACGAACAGCCCCAAGGCACAGTGGAACCTATTATAATTATTACTTATTAATTTATTACTCGCCATTCCCTCTAAGGCAGGGTTACTCAACCTTGGGTCTCCAGCTGTTTATGGACTACAAGTGCGTCTTATAGAGGGATAGCCATGTTCAAATATATAAAAGGATGTCACATACAGGAGGGAGAAAGGCTGTTTTCTGCTGCTCCAGAGAAGCGGACACGGAGCAATGGATCCAAACTACAAGAAAGAAGATTCCACCTAAACATGAGGAAGAACTTCCTGACAGTAAGAGCTGTTCGACAGTGGAATTTGCTGCCAAGGAGTGTGGTGGAGTCTCCTTCTTTGGAGGTCTTTAAGCAGAGGCTTGACAACCATATGTCAGGAGTGCTCTGATGGTGTTTCCTGCTTGGCAGGGGGTTGGACTCGATGGCCCTTGTGGTCTCTTCCAACTCTATGATTCTATGAAACTCCCATCATCCCTAGCTAGCAGAACCAGTGGCCAGGGATGATGGGAATTGTAGTCCCAAAAACAGCTGGAGACCCAAGGTTGGGAAACACTGCTCCAAGGTGCCAGGATGGGCCACAGCATTAAAAACAAATGAAAACATCTTAGCCAACAGAGTGAGCCCCTATCTGCATTCAGCCCTGTCAGCTGGTCACTCCACAGTGTGACAAAATGTAGAGAATTGACATGTATAATGTAAACTAGCAGTGTGTGAACATATAGTTAAATACTGAGTTGAGTGGGGTTTTTTATTCATGTTTTTATTGTAACATAATGACCTTTACTAACAACCCAAAGGTGCAACACCAGGGTATTTCATCACACTGTGTCCAAACCATAAGAAATAAAGTCCCACCAGCTGACATAAAAGCGTTCTGGGTCCTCTCTCCCTCTGGAGGCATGCAATTGATGTTATTTCCCCCTGCTATAGCCAAAGTCCATACGTTTGTATATGACACAAAGACAGAGGTAGATTTTCTGAAAGGTTTTCCACCGCTGGGCTGTTGAAATCCCAGCTGCAGCTAATGTCTGTAGACTGACCAGCTTTCACATTATCAGCCCGCGTACTCAGTGGCGACAGTGGTGGGATGGCCTGAACAGGCGATTTGAGCTATTTGAGCTGTTTATTGATATAATTTGAGATATTTATTGATATGCTTGAGACCAGAATAATGAAACCCAAGGGCACCAAAGATGGAAGAATGTTCTGCAAGCGACAAGCCTGCCAGCCGTTTGGGGGTGTTAGCATCCCTTGAAGGGACAGTCGTGTGCCCAGAGGCAGCCCTGCTGTGCCTTGCACCGTCCCAGGGATTAAACACCCCCACCCCCCAGTTTGTCTGATGCTTATTCATTATCTTCTCCCGTTTCTTGCCCTCCAGGCTGTTGCTGCCAAAGTTGGGATGGACAGCACAACCGCCAACTACTTTGCCTTGTTTGAAGTGATCAATCACTCATTTGGTGAGGCCTGAAGCCGGGTGGGAGGTTCAGAGTGTGTGGGGTGTGTGTCTTTCTTCTGAATGTTCAGAAATTTCCTTGAGCTCCTTCCCTAGGAGGGAAAAGCTCAAGCAGCAGACAAAATCCAGAAAAAAATGAGAAACTGCTAAGTGGGGGGAAATACATGATACCTTTATAAGATTCTACACGTTGAGGAGGAAGCACCATATTTTTCGCTCTATAAGACGCACCCGACCATAAGACGCACCTAGTTTTTGGAGGAGGAAAACAAGAAAAAAATATTCTGAATCCCAGAAGCCAGAACAGCAAGAGGGAGTGCTGCGCAGTGAAAGCAGCAATCCCTCTTGCTGTTCTGGCTTCTGGGATAGCTGCGCAGCCTGCATTCGCTCCATAACACGCACACACACATTTCCCCTTACTTTTTAGGAGGGAAAAAGTGCGTCTTATAGAGGGAAAAATACAGTAAATGAGCTTTTTCTCTCTCCCCACAACCCAGAATATTGTAATTCAGGGCCACCCACTGGAATTAGGCAGTGAGATTGGTTAAAAAGGATCTGGTGCGAGTTTAGGCATCTTTGTCTGTGGATCCATGGGGGGAGCGGGGAGTTAAATGAGCACCCTCTGCATATGTGGTACCAATTCTTCACTTCCTCCTCCTCCCCCCACATTTCTGCATCCCCCCCACACCACGCAGTGCGGAAGCTGGCGCCCAACGAGTTCCCCCACAAGCTCTACGTGCAGAACTACACCTCGGCCGTGCCGGGGACCTGCCTGACGATCCGGAAGTGGCTCTTCACCACGGAGGAGGAGGTCCTTCTGAACGACAACGACCTGGCGGTCACCTATTTCTTCCACCAGGTGGGCATCCTCGGGCGGTCTCTGTGCTTACACGGTCTTTGTGTATGTCTGTCCGTCCGTCTCCTCGCGGGCTGTTCCTTTTGAAGGCGCTCCCGGATTGCAGAGGGTCTCTCAGGGCCTGTAGAGACACAGGAGGACCACGTGCGACGTGTCATGTCTCAATCTTTCCAGGGAGCGGGAGAAGGAGGTAAAAGGCAGCTGGGGTAGTACAAATAGAAGTGCTTAAAATTATACATGGTATAGTGACAGTGGGACGCAGGTGGAGCTGTGGGTTAAACCACAGCCTTGGGCTTGCTGATCGGAAGGTCGGCGGTTCGAATCCCCGCAACGGGGTGAGCTCCCGTTGCTCGGTCCCTGCTCCTGCCAACCTAGCACTTCGAAAGCACGTCAAAGTGCAAGTAGATAAATAGGTACCGCTCCAGCAGGAAGGTAAACGGCGTTTCCGTGCGCTTCTCTGCTTCGCCAGAAGCGGCTTTGTCCTGCTGGCCACGTGACCCGGAAGCTGTACGCTGGCTCCCTCAGCCACTAAAGCGAGATGAGCACCGCAACCCCAGAGTCGTCCGCAACTGTACCTAACGGTCAGGGGTCCCTTTACTTTTATGGTGACAGTGGGCAGAGAGACGTTTTCCTCCCTCTTTCAGAATATAGTCCTACCTCGGGTTACAGACGCTTCAGGTTGCATTTTTTCGGGTTATGGATGCGCCGAAACCTGGAAGTACTGGAACGGGTTACTTCTGGGTTTTGGTGGTCGCACATGTGCAGAAGCGCTAAATCACGCTTTGCACATGCGCAGAAGCGCTGAATCGCAACCTGTGTGTGCGCAGACGCAGCGCTGCGGGTTGTGAACATGCCTCCCGCATGGATCACGTTCACAACCTGAGCGTCCACTGTACTACAAGTGACTCGCATCTTACGCAGGGGTTCATATCCTTGCCTACTGCACACATGAGCAAAATTGTGCAAAGCCAGGAACCCCTGGAACCGGCCCACTCACTGCAAGGGTGCAAGGCTGCTTGCTTGCCTTTGGGAAGGAGGTAGCAGGGCCAGAAGTCCAGCACCTTGTTCACCTCACTTTGGGAAGGCGGCATGGGGACTCTGGGGTGCTGCCATTGCATACTTGTGCAGGTGTTTGTGTGTGTGTGTGTGGGGGGGGGGAGATAAATAAATGCAGAGTGGGTTTCCTCCACTATCCATTTATTTATTTATTCCGCGCCCCCCCTCCACACAAAGCTGCAATCGCAAAAGTAAAATGTAGGTAAGTTGCGAGTTACCTGTACTTTGCTTTCTTTACAGGCAGTCAGCAGACTATTAAAACATTCTGTAACGATCAGCAGTTAGCTTTGATAACACTAATAACAATGCACATTAATAAAGCTGACACAGAATCAAAATGCTAGACTGCATGTCAGGTGATCATAGGAGGCCTATTGAAAATATATTTATATACTACTACTACTACTAGTAATTTATTATTTATACCCCGCCCATCTGGCTGGGCTTCCCCAGCAACTCTGGGCAGCTTCCAACAAAATATTAAAATACAGTAACGCATCAAACATTAAAAGCTTCCCTAAACAGGGCTACCTTCAGATGTCTTCTAAATGTCTGGTAGTTATTTATCTCTTTGACATCTGATGGAAGGGCATTCCACAGGGCTGGCGCCACCACCGAGAAGGCCCTCTGCCTGGTTCCCTGTAACTTGGCTTCTTGCAATAAGGGAACCACCAGAAAGCCCTCGGAGCTGGACCTCAGTGTCCGGGCAGAACAATGGGGGTAGAGACGCTCCTTCAGGTATAATGGACCGAGACCGTTTAGGGCTTTCAAGGTCAACACCAACACTTTGAATTGTGCTCGGAAACATACTGGGAGCCAGTGTAGGTCTTTCAAGACGAGTCTTATGTGGTCTTGGCGGCCACTCCCAGTCACCAGTCTAGCTGCCGCATTCTGGATTAGTTGTAGTTTCCGGGTCACCTTCAAAGGTAGCCCCACATAGAACACATTGCAGTAGTCCAAGCGGGCAGAACAATGGGGGTGGAGACGCTTCTTCAGATATACTGGACTGAGGCCGTTTAGGGCTTTAAGCATAAGGACTAGAAACTTGGAAGTCCTAATGACAGGACGCCAGGAGCTGGCATGGCATTTGAAGCAAAACACAGAGATGGGCAGTGGAGTGGAATGGAGGGTGACCAAAGCTGGTCTAGACACACCCAGGTGATCTTGTGTTAGCCGAGCCAAGGAGAAACAAAAAATACTGGCGTCGGCCCTAGTCGAAGAACCAGGCTGGTCTCTGAATGCTTCTTATGTCACCCAGGCTGTTGATGACGTGAAGAAGGGGTACATTAAAGCGGAGGAGAAGTCCTACCAGCTGCAGAAGCTCTGTGAGCAACGGAAGATGGTCATGGTAAGGGAAGTCCGTCTCTCCCCCCCATTCGGAGAAAGGCATTCTGGGATGTGGGCTTTGCTGTTCCCGCCTGCTGGGCTGTAGCGCCTGGAAGCAGCGAAATGCCTTTCCTATATCGTATGTGGAATTTTGTAACTTGGAGTTTTTAAGATCCTTTCCCTCTCTCTTGATTGGTATTTCGTGTTTAGAATTGATCACATTGACTGCATGGAGTTAATAAAGTTTTAATCTTGGCGATGGATGGGATTGGATCGGAAATCAAAAGAGCGGCATCATCTGCAAATAAACTGATTTTATGTTGTGCATTTCATAGCCCTTAATGTCTGAAAACCTCCCTCACTGCTGTTGCCAGAGGTTCCCTAGTAATGAGCAGCAGCAGTGAGCAGCAGTGAGAGGGCAGCCTCGTTTTGTGCCTTTTCCAATTTTAACGTTGGCGTTTTCAAAGACGTTTAGTCTAATGCTGGTTATGCTTTCCTAATATAGTCGAACTTTTTATTGATTTTAATCTATTAAAAGAAAAGGGTAAGTAGGAAGCCGATAAAGGAACGAGGGGAGAGAACTGTACCCCAAAAAATACCTTTAGATAGGAGAGTTAAAATTGAGTGAAATGAATTACAAGCCGATACGCCATTTATTATTTTACTGTTCCAGTATTGGATGGACAGGGTTGGGAAGCATTTTATCGAGCCTTTTAAATCCTCTTAAATGAGCAAATAAATGTGCAAGCATCGCTTTATAACTAACCCTAAGAAGCGGGATGTGGGAGCAACGCTGGCTGTGCTTGATTGGCTGGCCTTTCAGCCAATCAGATTAGAAAGCAGGGAGGGCGCATCCTCTATCCCACCTCACTTCCTGCGGCCTCCTCCCCTGCAGTACCTGAACATGCTGCGGACCTGCGAGGGTTACAACGAGATCATCTTCCCGCACTGCTCCTGCGACTCGCGGCGGAAGGGTCACGTGATCACAGCCATCAGCATCAAGCACTTTAAACTCCATGCCTGCACCGAGGAGGGTCAGCTAGAGGTCAGCTGCCAGGCTGGGGCGGTTGGGGTGGGTCTCCGCAGTGGGGCGAGAGCGGCTGAAAGGCCCCCACACCCAAGGAGGTTCCCTCTCGTTGACACCTCCGCCCGCTCTCCCAGAACCAGGTAATAGCCTTCGAATGGGACGAGATGCAGCGATGGGACACCGACGAGGAGGGCATGGCGTTCTGCTTCGAATACGCGCGGGGGGAAAAGAAGCCACGCTGGGTGAAGATCTTCACCCCTTACGTGAGTGTGGGCCGACGGGGAAGAGAGCGAGGCATCGGGGAGGCGGCAGGGGCACGGAATATCTGGCGATGCTTTGGGAGCTGCCACCAGGGGGCACCAGCCTCTGACCTTTTGGGGGAAAGAGGTGTCTGGTCGGTGGAGCTGAGATAGCGGAGCCGAGTGAGAGGCGCAAGCCCTCAGTCCTGAGAGATGGTTGTGTTTTCTCTCTCTCTCTCTCTCTCTCTCTCTCTCCCACCCCATTGCAGTTTAACTACATGCACGAATGTTTCGAGCGAGTCTTCTGCGAGCTCAAGTGGCGGAAAGAGGTGAGAAGTCACGTTTGGCGTTATTTATCGTGACGCAAAGCGTGTTCTTGCCTTCCACAAGGAGATCTCTTCCTCTACGGTTCTCGGTGTGCAAGGCTGGCAAAAGTTGTCTGCCAGGTTGGAAAAGAGTTTTGCACAGTGCGCCTGCAGCAGCCTCTAGAGACCCTGTTCATTCCTGTCGCTGTCTTGTGCTTGGCTGGGCCCTGCTTGCAGGCTTACTATTAGAGCAGCGGTTCTCAGCCTGTGGGTCCCCAGATCATAGAATCATAGAGTTGGAAGAGACCACAAGGGCCATCGAGTCCAACCCCCTGCCAAGCAGGAAACACCATCAGAGCACTCCTGACATATGGTTGTCAAGCCTCTGCTTGAAGACCTCCACAGAAGGAGACTCCACCACACTCCTTGGCAGCAAATTCCACTGTCGAACAGCTGTTACTCTCAGGAAGTTCTTCCTAATGTTTAGGTGGAATCTTCTTTCTTGTAGTTTGGATCCATTGCTCCGTGTCCGCTTCTCTGGAGCAGCAGAAAACAACCTTTCTCCCTCCTCTATATGACATCCTTCTTATGACATAAGATATTGTTGGACTACAACTCCCATCATCCATGAGCTCTGGCCTTGCTAGCTAGGGGTGATGTGAGTTGTAGTTCAACAACATCTGGGGACCCACAGGTTGAGAAAGGCTGTATTAGAGCATCTGGTGGCCACTGTGTGAACAGGAAGCTAGGTGGTCCCTCTTTGGCCTGATCCGGTAGGGCTTGTCTTATGAGTAACAGTGTGGAGGGCTCTCGCCTTCATCATCATCATCATCATCATCAAAATAAATTTTTATTTATGCCCCGCCCTTCCCTGTTCAAAAACCGGGCTCTGGGCGGCTAACAACAAATTTAAAACACTTAATTGTAAAAGCAGCATAAAATACAGTATAAAAACATGAATAACAATAAAATTCAAAAATCAAATATCAATTTAGGGGAAATAAGCATTAGATAGTCATGAGGGCTAGTTGGCTGAATTGGTCCTACTTGGGCCAGCGAGGACCCCAGGGGAGAAATAGCTGTGGGGTCTCAGAGCGGGTGATCTTCGTAAAAGGGGAGGGGGAGGGAAGAGAAGGGGAATAAAAGATCAGGCTGAATTCAAATTAAAAGCCAGGCGGAATAGCTCTGTCTTACAGGCCAGACGGAAAGAGGTTAAATCCTGCAGGGCCCTAGTCTCATGGGACAGAGCATTCCACCTGGTCGGAGCCACCGCTGAGAAGGCCCTGGCCCTGGGGGAGGATAGTCTGGCCTCCTTAGGGCCCGGGACCTCTAAGCCAGTGTTCCCTAACCTTGGGCCTCCAGCTGTTTTTGGACTACAACTCCCATCATCCCTCGCTAGCAAGACCAGTGGTCAAGGATGATGGGAATTGTAGTACAAAAACAGCTGGAGGCCCAAGGTTGGGGAACACTGCTCTAAGCTATGGTTATTCATGGACCTTAAGGTCCTTTGCGGGGCAGACCAGGAGAGGCGGTCCCGTAATTATGAGGGCCCTAAGCCCCACCTGTGGACTTGCTGGAAGAATCTGTTTACCCACCGTGAGAAATAAGCTGTTGAATTAGAAGAGCCCGTTGGCCTCATCTAGATTCAGGGCTCTTATGTGGCATGTGCAAGACAAGAACTGGAAGAGCTGCCATTTTTATTATTGCTGGGAGCCAGTGGAACGCTGCCTCCAAATTCCTGGCTGCCTCCTTAGTCTTCCCACCCCACCTAGTGCACCTCCAGATGTTTCAGACTACAACTCCCACAATCCCCTGCTGGCATAGCCATGTGACGTTGGGACTGGCAGGAACAGTACAGGCGGTCAGAGACCGTTTGGAGGTGCGCCTGGTTTGGGGAAGACAAGCGATCTGTCAAGGTGGACCTCAAGAGGTTTGATTGGAAGGGTGGAGGAAGAGGCGGGGCTGACACCTCTGCTCCTGGAGCTGATTGGCCGGCGCTCGCTTCCATACTTCTTCTTAAAACAATCCTGTCCTTTCAAAGGTGGAGGAAGAGGCGACAGACAAGGATAACAAGAACTGCAGTAAAGACAACATGTGCAGCAAGGTAAGGGGATGAGGACCCTCCCAACCCCCCAGTTTTCTAGCGCAAGTGCAGGATGAGAGCTCTGCTTCTTTTCCGTGTTGTGCGGAATGATTTTGAGGTTGGGAAGAGCTAACCCCACTCTCTGGTCTGCTTCAAAGAGGCGCCCCGTTTCAAACTGGGCCCAGACGTCTTCCAAGACTTGATCTGGCTCAAAACAGCAGTTTCTAAGTGTTGCTAATAATATTAATAGGGACACGGGTGTAACTTTAGATTGGAGGAAGTTCATGCATATGTATTGCTTTAATAGATAACAGCTATGTATATTAAATGGGACGTGGGTGGCGCTGTGGTCTAAACCACAGGTCCTAGGGCTTGCTGATCAGAAGGTCGGCGGTTCGAATCCCCGCGACTGGGTGAGCTCCCGTTGTTCAGTCCCTGTTCCTGCCAACCTAGCAGTTCGAAAGCACGTCAAAGTGCAAGTGGATCAGTAGGTCTGGTGGGAAGGTAAACAGCGTTTCCGTGCGCTGCTCTGGTTCACCAGAAGCGTCTTAGTCCTGCTGGCCACATGACCCGGAAGCTGTACGCCGGCTCCCTCGGCCAGTACAGCGAGATGAGCGCCGCAACCCCAGAGTCTGTCATGACTGGACCTAATGGTCAGGGGTCCCTTTACCTTTAATATTATTAATAAAGTTAAGCCTGCAGCTTACTGCGGGAGTTCCGTTCTGGGGATTGCGCCTAAGGCCAAAATTGCAAACAGCCAAAGCAGGTTGGGTTCATTGGTGGGTGGGGTTGCCAAAGTCATTTTCCCCAGAACCCTGCTCTCTTTCCGCCCCCCTTTATATATTTCCCGCCACACATGTAAAGCTGAATTCGTACGAGTTTAATGTGCATACGTTGCGGGCTTAGCATAATAATAATTTGCAGTTGAAGTGGTAATCCACATGGCCCAGTGGTCAAGGAGTTGGGAATCCCAACATCATCTGTGCACCACAGGTGGTCCTCCCCCAATCCCTGCTTTGAAACTGTTCTTCTGAACGTGCCCAGCAGCACTTTTCCTGCTTGAAATCTTGGGATTTGTAGTTTATTTGCCTGGGGAAACTGACTTTCCATCACTCGAGGGCAAGGCGGTGTGTGCCTGAGCCCAAGCTGGGGACCTGGGTCTGCTGGCCGGCCGGCCAACCTCTTATGAACTTTTGCCTGCTGCTGTCCCCGCGCCGCTGAAGGTGCCCATGAAAGCCCCTTCCAAGGATTTTGTCAGCGTTCATCAGGAATGCTTTCGCAACCCCGTCAGCTTTTAAGGCAGATTTTGTGGGGAGGGTCTGTGTCCGTAGATCACTTTTTCCGTTGCTTCTCTTGGTATCTCAGCCGCCGTTCTCTCTCTTTTGGTCTCCTTTCCAGAACATCTTTCAGATGATGCGGACACAGCACAGAGACATTACGACTTAGCCTCGCGGCCGCCATGGACAAAAACAGACAACCACACACAGACACACACACACAGACAGACAGACAGACAGACCGAGAAGCAAAACGTATTATCCCTTTCCCCGCCCCCCCTTCCTGAAAATTAACACTTTTAAAAACGAAAAAGAGAGAGGGGGAAGTGGTTTATTGTATTAAAGCCCTTAAAACTAAATATTAATAATACCATTTGTGAATTTCATGTTAAATCAACTGGGGGGGCGGGGGGGCAGGCAGGGATCCAGCCAAGCTGTTGGAAGCAGGAAGGGTGGGAAGAGAGGGAGGTGGGAGCGGGGAATCCCGTTTCTTACCACCAAAAATTATGGGGGGGGTGTCTTCTCCCCCCCATAGTTTGCCCCCCTTCCTGTTTCAAAGATGGACTCTGCTGAGGGTTTTTTTTCTGTTCTTTCCTTTTCCTTTTTTTTAAAAAAACAAACTGGATATAGAAATGTACATCCATTTGCACTGTTTGGACATATATATGTATGTATGTAAAAAAAAAATTATATATACAAACTATCACACACGTATATACATATATATATAATTTCATCTCGGCGGCCATTTAACTTTCAGAATGCTTACATTTCTACACGGAGTTTTCCTTCCTCCGGAATTTGTCATGGTGGTGCTTCTTTTTCCTCTTGTAAAAAATAAATAAATCTGGAACCGGGAAGAGAGGGGGCGGGAACGGAAAGCAGCATTAAAGGAGCTGCCTTTGCTCTCATTCATAGGAATTAACTGGAGCCGAAACAAATTTCAAATGCCATCATCGTCCAATCCCACATTCTGAAACCATGAAAGAAGTTTGAATTTCAATGCTTGAAGCCCCTTTTAAATATGTGTGTGTGTGTGTGAGAGAGAGAATTTCTTCCCCCTGTTTTTGTGGCTGCATTTTGGGATGTCGGCAGGAGAAGTGGGGGGAAGTCTCTGGACAGAAAGCATTTCAGGAAAAACACTTTTGGTTCCAAGTGGATTGAAACATCCAAGTTGTGTTTGTAATTCTGGAATTTCAGCTTGAAGATTTTGTTGGGGTTTTTTTGTGGGGGGGCGGTGTTTAAATTTAATAATTGCATCTGTGCGCCTTGGCTATTCCGGGCTTATAACAGCTACTCCCCCTGTCACCCCCCACCCTTGTGGCATTTCAGATTTTGTCAGTGTCACCGTCATGCATTTAAAATTGAGCAAAGAGGGGCTGGATGAGAAGAGGAGGTGAAAGAAAATTCCACCCTCCCTCCTTACAAGATTAGAACCCACCATCATGGAAACATGGTTGTTGCTTGAACTGCTATCCAGCACAGCCATGATCGGCAGCTGGAGAGTTCTGCCCTATTCCCCTCCCAGAACTACAATTCCCGGCGTGTTTTAACAGTCAGTCCCTCCTCCCAAGGCACTCCGGAAATCGCTGCTTCCCAGGATTCTTTGGGAGGGGGAACTGTGACTGTTTAAAGCATAGCTGTCTACGTTTCCCTTTTTCAAAGGGAAATTCCCTTATTCCGAATAGGATTCTTCGCAAGGAAAGGGAAAAGTTGACAGCTTTGGTTTAAAGTGGTATCATAGCGCTTTGAATGTGAGGTGCAAATGTGGCCAAGGCGAGGAGAAGCCGAGTCTTCCCCATCCTCTTTCTTTCAAAGCATTTGTGGCTCCAGATTTCCTGCCAGGAGGCGTACCAAGAGTGGTGGGGCTGGGTCAGTTGCAGGCCAGTTTCCGGCCTCCAAAACAACACGGGAGATGATGGCCGATCAAGCCGGAGTGGTGGCCCATTCTTGGCCAGGCTTCCAGAACAGGGTGGCATGTGTGCGTTTGCCCAGTGTCTGGAGAAGGCTGGTCCCGTGATCACAGCTTTGAGGCACATACTGTAGGGAGAGGAGCTACCATATTTTTTGCTCCATAAGATGTACCTGACCATAAGATGCACCTAGTTTTTAGAGGAGGAAAGGAGGAAAGCCCCTTTTTTTGAGGATCAGCTCAAAGTTGTGCAGCTTCTTTTGCAAAGGGGGAAAGCCCCTTTTTTCGAGGATCAGCTCAAAGTTGTTGAGCTTACTTTGCAAAGGGGAAAAATCCTGTTCTTATGGGGTTCAACTCACAGTTCTGCAGCTTCTTTAGGAAAGGAAAGGGAGCCGTTTCTACAGTTTCCAGACATATAATCTAATCAGCCAGTCACATGTCGCTGGGGAAACAAATAGCCTCCGTCTGCAGAACATTCAACAATGGAGGACTGGGCAAGGGGGCGGGGCGATCAACCACACATTCGCTCCATAAGACGCACAGCCATTTCCCCTTTTTAGGAGGGAAAAAGTGCATCTTATGGAGCGAAAAATGCGGTAGATCATTTGCCCATGTGTTAGAAGTAGGGGCTGCAGTTAGGCTTAATGGAAAAATAGGGTGTGAGATTATGCCCAAGCAGGTGTGACTACACTGCCACTGGACACACACTTGGGTGCTTTTCTGAGGCTTTCCCCACAAGTTCAAGAGTCAACACCTGACTTGAGAGTGTAAGAAAAGCCCTTCGGAGCAGGGCTAAAGGCTCATCGAGCCCTGCATCTCGCTCTCCCACTGTGGCCAGCCAGGAGCAGCAGGGCGAGAAATCCTTAGTTGTAGTTTCCAAGTCACCTTCAAGGGTAGCCCCACGTAGAGCACATTGCAGTAGTCCAAGCAGGAGATAACCAGAGCATGCACCACTCTGCGGGCAGGGAGGGTCTCAGCCTGCATAACAGATGGAGCTGATAAACAGCTGCCCTGGACACAGAATTGACCTGCATCGTCCATGGACAGCTGTGAGTCCAGAGAGTAGGAAGCTACAGTGTGTATGCCAGAGAAGGATCTTTGCTCAAAGAGGGAGCATGTCAAAGGTCCCAGGTTCCATCCTCAACATCTCCAGATACGACTGGAAGAGATCCCTTGCCTGAAACCCTGCAGAGCTGCTTCCGGTTGTTGTGGACAGTCGTGAGCTAGATTGTCCAGTGGCCTGTCTTGCTCTAAGGCAGCTTCCTACACCCCAGTGTGGTGTTGTGGTTAAGAGCGGTAGTCTCGTAATCTGGGGAACCGGGTTCGCGTCTCCGCTCCTCCACCTGCAGCTGCTGGGTGACCTTGGGCCAGTCACACTTCTCTGAAGTCTCTCAGCTCCACTCACCTCACAGAGGGTTTGTTGTGGGGGAGGAAGGGAAAGGAGATTGTTAGCCACTTTGAGACTCCCTAGGGTAGTGAGAAAGCGGGATATCAAATCCAAACTCCTCCTCCTCCACCACCCTTATTTAAACCTGCCTTACCCAGAACCATGAGGACTGGAATGGCGTTCTGTTTCAAGGGCAAAGACCTTCTGCACGCTCATATGGGAGAGCGTGCAGAAGGTCCCTGGTCTCTTTCCTGGTAGAGCTGAGAACGTCCCTTACCTGAAACTGGGAGGATCTCTGCAAGTCAGTGTGGGCTTTGCTGAGCTGGAGGGACCCCATTGGTTTGCCTTCCTCTGTTGCTAAGGCAGCAGCCCCAAGCGGTGCCCTGGAGGAAACTAGGCAGGGAAGTGAAATGACCCCCTCTGATGCCTCAAACACCTATGGGGTGTCCCTCCCTCCCTCCCCATGTAGAACAAGAATTGCCCCCAAACTGTTAGCCCCGTATGCTGGCCAGCGCTCTCCAGGTCTTAAGGTAAGGCTTCATCTGTGTTTGAGGCTAGGATTCCCTCCTGGGGCGGACAGTGTGCCATGTGCCTCTGAGCTAGTGCAGAGCGCTTTCCCTCCTGGCCGAGTGACTCCAGGCAGCCTCTGTTCCCCTCTCTTTGTAGAAGAAGTTCAAAGATGGAAGGCACGCAGAACTTTCTAGCCAGTCAACTTATTTCCTCAACTTATCGCATCTTTCCAGGCAAGGCAAGCCTCACCTTTGCTTTTCAGCTGTTCCTCCTCTGAGAGAGAGTTCTTTCAGGAGCTGGTTCAAACGTGAGTAGCTGCAGGCACGAGCCGCAGCCAGAGAAGCGTTAGAAAGAAATTGAGTCCATCTTGTTTGCTGGAGCTTCAGGAAGTTCAAACTTCTTTTTTTTGGTTTTCGGGGAGAGGAGATGGGAGTTTTCCAGGGGATTTTCCGGCTGGGGATTTCTGGTGGTCTGAAACATCCGTGGAGGAGCAGAAAGGAGTATTTATAATGGCTGATAAAATGGAACTATTGAGTGGATGTGCCTATTTCTGCATTGTCGGGAGCTGTGGAGACTTCTGTTAACAACCCTGACCTTGGGTATGAGGAACCTCTGGCCCTCCAGGAGCCTCTGAGCCACAGCTCCCGTGATTCACCATGCAAAGGTTCAGCCAAAGTTCCCCGTCCCTCCCTTAACTTCTCAAACGTGTATCTCCCAAGACACAGTTATTATATGGAGGTTTGTTACAGTCTATTATGCATTCAGTTTATCAGTCGCACAACACAGAAGGGGTCTCTTGAGCAGATTGCAAAATGTTTAAAACATGATGCGTGACATGAAATTGAGCGAGGAGAGCAGTGCGTCGCAGTAGCTAGACGTCCTCTTGAGGAATTTGAAACAATCACATGTTCATTCAAAATCCAATTGAAGCTAGTTTAATTTGACAAAACCGAACTTGATCCAGTGATGCCAGCTTCTCAAAGTCTTGAGAGGCATTGACACCTCTGGCAACCCCCCTCCTTGCCGCTTAGTGCCCCCTCCCAAAGCCACCCCACCATTCACTTTGGGAACCTCTTAACAGTTGAAAACATCATTCCACCCGGTGATCACAGGGTTGCAACAGGGGCATTTTTAACTTCCTCAAACGTCAAAAAGATGGAAACAGATACATCGCACTGGGGGGACATTGTGCAACCAGGGGACCACCACCCAAAAGGCCCTGCCATGGGTCAGTGTCAACGAGGCACCACTGCTGTTATAGGCAGATATTTCTCCTCTCCATAGAAGTCCCTGCAATGTGCTCTTACATCTTCAACTTGATTTGCAGCAGTTTTGACCTCTGGTTTTAAAACGTTGGCGTTTACCTTCGTTGACGTGGCTGCGGTTCTGATGTTGCTCTCTCCGGTAAGAACTTGCAGGAGAAATTGGGGCAGAGCCCTGTCAGGGTACCCAACTTAGTCTCGTCCGGCTGCTGTTGAACTCCCATCCTCACCATCCTTGACCATTGGCCTTGCTGGCTGCAACTGGGAGCTGGACTCCGGGGACATCCAGAGGGTGACCATGTTTGCTGCTCCTGCGCTAGGGAGAAAAGTTTTTGGCGTGATGGTCTCAGCCCTGGGAATCGCCCCCTTTTGCCTGCCAAAGCAACTACCGGGGGTCTTAGCAAAGGTCCATTGGCCACGCTTGGGGCGTGAAAGCCCAGTGGGCCTGCTCCACCACTTGGCATTCAGAGGTAGACTGCCTCTGACGCTGGAGGTTCTGTAACCGTTATGACCAGTTGTTACCAACACGCCTCCCCA